ATCCACTTTTCTGATATAGAATTCGATGCATTTATGAACACTTTGCAAACAACAACGATGTCAGCTAAAGCCTTTCTAGCGTCCAGGTTTCTCAAGTCCTTTCGTTAAGTTGCAAAACAATCGAAGTAATAAAGTTTACGACGTCGGTACATCATGACGAAGACGTACATACGATATTCTGAACAATTGGTTTTCTATTAGAACCTAGCGCTTTCTCTCTGCGATTCTATTTACACCTCTCGAACAGAAGAAGCCTGCACCTTTTCAACGCATCGACAGAACTACATCGTCTCGTTTAAGATTCCGTGTAACAAAGATCGTTAACAGTGACGATTTTTCTCGAGAAACTAATCGATCGTTTTTGTGTCTACCTACGAATCAGAACAGCGAACGCAAACCTCGTATACCCACGTTATAGTACGCGTCGACAGGACTAGATTTATACGTTGGAAACTGATGGCTGTAACGTTTTTTCGTGTCTCCAATCAATTTTCATCATCCCAAAAATTATCGATCGCCAATGTTGACGAAGGTGTCTGTCTCGTTTCTTTTTTTAGGAAACTAACGGGCGTGTCAATTTAAAACTTTGTACGTGTGTTTATTTATATATTTTCGAGTATAAATAATTGATTTTGCCGAAGTAACACTTATGTCCATGGTTGCACGATATTCTAGTAAAGCTACTACGTACTTGAATTAAATTTAAGGTTTTGTAACATTGATAATGTTTCTGATTTCAGCACAATGTTTCGAGGATGCTTCGAAGACACGAATCTTGGAGAAAATGCGAAACTTCGAATGACTTTTATTATCCCCAATTTAGACAGACACCCGAAGCCACCGTCTGAGCCTATCATGTATCCGTAACGAGCTTTGTGGAACACGAATGACTTTGTACGAGTATTAAGTACCGAAACCTGCTATGTTAAGTACCGTCGACCCCATCCTAAGGATGACAGGTGTCCATGGACCCTACTCGCGCAATAGCGTCGAAAGAAAAGTTAATTGCCTGGTCTCTTTTCGATCACCATCGAAACATCGTCCCGATCGTTGTACGGCTGCAGTGCGATTTCTTGTCCACGCGATTTCACTTTGTAATTAATTTAACCCTTTCCTTGCGATCGGCGTTCTACAAAATCGCTCGCCGTGCCGTCGATCGATCTGTCTTCGCGCCCCGTGCGGCGAACGCCCATGAGCGTCCAACGAATACGTGCGTTAAACGCGTGGAAAAGTGTCCTGCACGCGGGAATACTTCGCGACATGTTTCCCCGAAAATTTAGGCAAATTACTTTGATCGTTAACCTGGAACATTCAGCCGTTTAACGTGAATTTTATCGCCATTGGAAAATATTTTTCTTAATACTTTGATCAATCGTACAGTACGTTGAATAAAATCTAATAAATACTTAACGTTAAAAGAACACTTGGGCTTTGATGCTTATAATAAATAAATAATTTTCCCGGCAATTCGTCGCTTCTTAGAAACGACAGGAACGATCTCGATGGCTCACAGTTTTAAAATTGTTAAAATTTCTATCATAAGTAAATTATTTCAATCTTCGAGCTTAAGAGCTCTTTGGACTTAATTAAAGTGATTAAAGTGACCACGATTTAGACACCAATAAAAAAAAATCGTAAAATAGTACGAGTCGAGTTTGCAGGGAAATTGAACATTGTCCGACAAAGGGTTAAAAGGACGCTTCGAACGAAAGGCGTCGATGATAGCTAATTGAATTTCAAGAAAGCTTCGAATTAAGCGTTAACGGGAGATGCATCCAGCATGCTAATCCAACCGCTTTAGCAAACGTTGCTCGCGCGATTTGTTCTTCTGTCAGCGTGCACGAAAAGAAAATAACCGTACTTTTATCGACACCGGATGCGATGCGTCTCATCGAGAATTTCGATATCCACCGTCCGGAAAAGAAAGTCGGATGTCGTCCAGAACTTCCTCCTGTCGCGCTGATTCTATATTCAGCCTGCGCTACACACGATTTTTACGTCCATCGAACGACCACGTTCGCGATAACGAGACACTCGACGATTATAATTCCCCGTAACGCGAGTGTCCGTCCTCCGAAACGCCGCGACTTGGAAAACCAACGGGCAGCTCCGACGCGTTTAAACTATCCGACGCCTAGCGTCTTGGACGGAATAGCACCGACGCTTGCGCGTCTGTTCAACGAGTCCTTCGACGATGACCCAAACTGACGAAACGATTCGCTGAATCGTGGAAACGTGTTGCAAGAAGCTACAAAGAATGTCCCTGAACGATGTTCGCGACGCTAAAGAAACTGCCTTTTCACAGTTTGTGATCTTATTCGTCGATAGATTACGCTATTAGGTGTACATAAGTAGTCCACTAGTTTTTCGTATGATTGGCGGAGTAATTTCAATTCGACATAGTTGGTACCTTTTGTCAGTAACCAGTCAACTATGTTCGACGACTATATCCGTCATGCGTAAAATCTAGTTACCACTTGCTGCATAAATTGTAATTTTAGCGAAAACTAAAATATATTCGTAAATTTCGATATGTTTAGAATCTTTGGAGGTCAAAACGAAAAGAGGGTCGACACAGCTGACTGGTTAAGCGAGATACATAATGGCGAAACATTGTATTTTTTATTGAATTATGGCAACTAGAAAAAATATGTGTTTACTATTTTCGGCTGTTCTACGAGCCTAGAAAGTTTCTTTGAAATTAGAGCCAAACCATTCGCGACATTTCCTCGTCAATCGATTGGTACACGACGATATAAGACCTCTGGTCGCGAGATTGGCCAAAAGATATGCATCGATCTTTCAGGCAATCGCTCGTTTCGATCGATCCGACACGCCTTGCGTGATAAATGGTTTTTAAATGTCGAGGAAATGAAACAATGACTGAACGATTTGATTGCAAGTAAAGACCAATTTTTTTATCGAGCATCTATAATTTGATTCGAAAATGAAAGGTGTTGATCAACGATAGAAATTACTTCAAATTATATCGGTATGTTTTGACAACGAACAACGAATCTGATACAAAATAGTGGATCGCTTATTTGTACACCTAAATCTAAATTTCATTCAGGAACAGTATTCCTAGCTATTCGGTGTATGGACGACGAAAAAAACTCGTCTAAAACCATTTAATGGTCCTACACTTCTGATCCTATCTTTAGGATCTGGATAACTGGAGCAATCGTGTCCCCCAGTGAAACGCGACTACGAAACCAGTCGAACCGTTTATGCACCGAAGACACCAAGAATCTACAACACTTTTACGAAACATTCGTGTCTTCAGATTGTCTATACAAGCATAAGAAGTACGTTTCGACCTAACGATTGTAACAACCAATCGAGGACATACCCGATAAGCACGATCTACCTACGCGACTGTCAGTAAAGATGGGAGATCGAAAGATCGGTTAACCCTCTGTTTCACGAATTTTATTTCATCTTTTAAAATAGAAATTACGTCCTAAACCTTCGTTACTTCGTGAGACGATATATTCTTGGAATCACTTTTTATATAGTCTCATAAATGGATAAATGAATGTTTTGAAATACATAATATTTTCTGGTACACCATAATGTTAAATGCCACGAGTAAATGCAATACGAATCGCGATCTCTTTTAGGACTGATAATTTTCTGTCCCTGAAAATCCTGTAAGCTACCATCAAATCCGAAAGGGTTAAAATATTCGAAAAGAGGACGTTCATAGCACGTGCAGACTTGGCAGCGAATGTGTCAAACTATTTTCATCGAGAAGCGGAATTTTGCATTCCGCGTTCAATGTAGCTGGATATAATCCGCAAGAGTTACTTGCATTAACGAATGCAGAAGAATCCACAAATATTATAGCGAAGAGAATTATAATATATTTCGAGAAAACGAAATTACCGATGATACAAATTTGCTAAAAAGAACTTGAGCAGTGGCGATTAACTTCTGATTGCTAGAGAAACGGACTAAGCAAATGCAAATTCATGGCTCGGAGTTCCGTTTAGAGCGATGGCATTAAAAAATTTAAGTTAATTGACGCGGCGCTCAAACGTGTGTAAAAAAATCTATCACTATAGCCTTCCCTAGTTTCGCGTAGTCAGATCGAAATGTCTGACTCAATACGGGTTATAGTTCCTTCGATCTCCCATCTGTACCCATAGCGCGAACAATCGACTCTTATCGGGCAACATCTACTAGGCGTGTACGAGAACCCGATCCTCGGGCAGAGTTGGGTCCAAGTATCGAAAGTGTCCGGCGTCATGAAACCCCGGTAAAAACTAAAACACATAGTCGCAATGCATTTTGGTGAAGACGAATCCCTATGGGATTCGTGACAATGAAACTTGTTTACGTACTAACTGGACCAACAGAACGATGACTCGGATAACGAAGTGCGGACCAGTTAATTCGATTCTAAAACGTGTTCACACAGGCTTCCGGACGCTTTGGAGACCTCGACCCGATCCCGAGAGAAATTCTTAATTCAAGATTCTGGAGTTCCCGGGTATAACGTTGAATATCTAGTCGCCCGGACCGCGTGCCCCGTTGCTCGAGCGTCCATCGAACGACCCCCTGATCGATCATGGGTACCGACACGGTAGCCACCAGGCGGTAGGACGCGCTGACGCATCGGGTACGCGGAACGAGCCGGAGGATAAGCTGGTGCTCGTTCGAGTGGGGCAGTACTACCGTTGGGGATGCGAGTGCGACATGTGAGGATGGTAGGCAGCGTGATGGGGCGGCAGAGGCGAGGGACAGGACTGCTGATAGGGGCCGGCGGCCAGCATGGGACCCGGACTGGAGCATGGTACCAGGTGCGAGCTCGGCGAGGCCGCGTGCGCATGCGCAATCAGGTGCGCGTGCTGCGCGTGCGAGGGTGGCGCGTGCTGCGAACCCGGCGGCGGCGGCGGCGGTGGCGGATGGCCGGGTGGCCCTCCGGTTGGTCCGCCGCCAGGATACCCGCCGTGCAGCGAGCCACCGTGCGGCGAGCCATACACCAGTTGCCTTACTTTCTGCTCGTCGTCGGCTATGTTGTAGGTCAGTTCGGTCTCCTCGAACCCGGTCGCGGACATCCTCTGATCCCCGGATGAGCCGGAGGTGGGCGGGTCCGGGCTGTTCAGGCAGGTCTGGATCAACGCCTTCCCTGCCTCGCTGGTTATCATCGGCTGTAGCTTCCGTGTCGCGAACGTGTACACGTGGCCCGTCTCGCTGGCCACCAGCAGCATCACCTGCGTACCCGTCAACGTCGACAGCTCGTACGCCTGCAACCAGAGTTCACGATTAATTAGGGGTGTCCCTAACGCGGGCTGTCTCCTTCGATTCGATGGTTTATTAATCCGTTAAAACGGACAATTGTGGAGCTACAGATCACACTTTTACTCTTTCACTCTAATATGTAACGCTTTTAGATCAGCAACCACTTTTCTGTTCAACGTTCCGGAACCTTCTGCCCTCTGTCATACTTCCGCTGTTTTCTCACGCCGTCCGGACCCCTTGTTCCTCCCTTTCGTCGGCAACCCAGGGTCCCTAATTATCTACTCAACACGATTCACTTTGGTAATTAACCCCTGTCTTCCCCATGTGTCGCACAGTACTGGTGACTGAACTACTCAATTTTCGACTTATGGCCCCTAATATTTTTTTAAAGAGAATGGAAGGATTCATTGACTGATGTTAAAAGTATATGTATGTTATTTTTATTTAATCCTTGCCTAGTAAGCCTAGGACGATTTTTATCTAGTGAGCTATAATTGCCCATGCTTTCTTAGCTCTATCTACTATTTACTAATCTCAGAATAATAAACGTAAACAAAACAAAACTGAAGATGAAAACGTAACGGATCCATAAAGTCTATATGTAATTTTATAAAGAAAATTTATGTGATCTTTATTTCTTTATACGTCAGGAAAAAGGATAAAATTGAACTTGAAAATAAGCTTTGGAGAGAGTTTCTATGTTAGCCATGGAACATGTACAATGGAAAGTCTACGATTGTTGGCATTTAAAATAGAATGATTCGAAACTGTTAGAATTTGAGAAAAAGGTGAGTGATCAAAGCAATAGTCATCCTTGAAAATTCGTCTTCCTATTAGTTCGAATAATCCAAGTTTTATTGTAAACATTATACAATTTGAAACACGTTGCTTTCGCGTAATACTTCTCCGTGTGATAGGAACAAACTCTATTTTAATATTTCTAAGCGTTACACTGGCTACAAAGGTGTGCCTATTATATATTCATACATTGTTAAGAATGCATTCTTATCTATAGTCAATAACGTTCGCGTCGTATTATCTTTTTTGGCACAGAGTTTTTATGATCCTTATCAGGAAAAAATGACGAATTCTGTACATAAAATTTTTGACCTTATTTATCGCTTATCTAAATTCTTTTTTAACGCTACCACTCGTTTGACTGTATAATATTTTTTATTCGTTCTTAATTAAAATACGATTCCACAGACTTGTCTTCTATTAAATTACTAATACACAATTATATCTACTTAATGCCATACTTATGACACCACGCGATCACAAATCGGATTATTTATTCTTTAAAAATGTCGTTAGCTGATTCGTTTTTTGCTTACAAATTCATAAGTCAACTGATTAATTATCTTGATATTCTGCATACATTGAATTTTCCTGTCTCAGCTCAGTATCTAAGGAATCACTTTTGGTTTGCTAATCTTTATCGAATGCTTCACTGCAAATTCAATTGTTCAAATTGCGCTGTTACGAGTACCAACACATTTTCTTTATTTTATTCTTTTTTTTTTATTTTTTTCCTCATCCTTTTAACCTTTCTTATCCACTGTATCAAATCTTCCAGTACATAATCCAAACAAGTATAGTTTAGAACAGATTGAAAACTTTAAAGCACGAATGAAAGTTTGTCAAAGAGATACAACGAGTAAAAAGTATACAAAACAAAAATACGATTAAAAGTTGCAAGTATAAATAAGCTTATAAAAGGATAAAGTATAAATATCCAGAAACCGTTGGAAAAGGGTATACAATAATGAGAAGGATAGAAAATGCAAAAGGTTAGCGATCAAGCTTGAAAAAATGAAAAGCACGCAGAAGAAATTCAGGTGTATTAGGAACGAGGTGATGTAAGATGAAAAATGAAATGAAAGGACTCCGTAAAAGAGAAGAGAAGTGGGAAGAAGAAAAAGTAGAACTGTAGAAACGAATAGCTAGTTTAGAGAACAAGTTACAGGATATGGAAGGAAGAAAAGAGGACGACGTAGGCGGTAGCAGGAATGTAGAACTTCAAATAGAAAAGATAGTAGAGGGAATAGGATGAAAAACGGTAAGGTAGTTGGAAAAATGGAAAAGCCAATCATTATCATTACAATACAGGTCTACAAGAGTGGAACAAGCTCTGCCAGGATTCTATGTAACATACAGTTGGAGCCTTTTAATATCAGTCTTTAACTATTAAAATTTTTAATCAAAATTATTTACATCTCAGTTCTTGTTCAGGATTATATAGAGATTAATGATCAATCAGCAATATTGTAAATGTAAAAACTATATTTGTGTGTGTGAAAAGGTAATTTGATTTGCAAGAAGTTGAATTTCAGGTGCACAATCTGTACACTGTGCAGAGTTTGGTTTGCAGCTGATAACTACTGTCTTCTCGCTAATAAAATGCATTTTGAAGATAGTAATGCAACTGGTCATTGGTTTAAACAACACGAAATCATGACCAACAGTAAAATAATATTTTTCAGGACTTCTGACCACCAAATCTTGAATTTCATCCAGGATTCTCCCTAGCTTTCCAGTACACGTAATCACTCATCGTGGACTGTTAGCGTTTAGCACTGGAGGACTACAATTACCCTTTGCATCGAAAGGGTTTAATTAACAGGAGATGCGAGAGATAACGTCATGGACGATTTACGTTGTGCTCGGAGGCCATAAAAGTGAAAAATGTTCGAAAAGTGAAGCTACAGAGAGGATACGCGGAAACTGATTCTCGCCAGGCGAACAGTAAAAGTGGCAATTAATTATTTTAAGAAACACTAAATACTAGGTCATTGACACTTGGTCGGGTCTTGAGCGTAGTCGCGCCGAACCGGGTAAGAATATATTATCATAACTGTGAGACGTGTGACTCATGGAACATCCAAGATGAACCAACGCAAAACGCAGAAATTTATGATGCACGCTTTCTACCGTTTAACAGTCTTTGGTTGAGCAGAATGACCATATCAGGGACGCGTGTTCGCGATGTGATCTAATTAACGAGAAACATAGCGTTTTAAACGCTGAAACAAGTATTTGCAGCTTGCGCGATCATTACAGTGAAAGTTACAACTGAAAATAGGCACTCGGGAGGTAACAGCGTTTGCGGAACAAATGAAAAAGATTACACGCCTTTGTTAGGGAGAAATAAACGGGTTTCCATTAATACTATCCTACAAGAATATTTCCTAAAATTTTCCAGTTAAAAATTTGCAACAATAATCAACTTAACCAGTCGAGAATTATGCGTTTGAGTACCATCGAATTTGAGACATAAGGTACCATTGTTTTGGCTTAAAAAGGACAATTTATATATTATACTATTATACAGAATAATCCCGAAATAAATCGAAAATATGGAAAACTTCATTCGATTTATCAGTAATAAAAATTTGTTATTTTTTACCTAGTTTTAATCAGTTTGATGGTTTTCAACCCTTTAAAGAAAAGATGCGATACTTTTGTGTATAAAATTTGATGACAAAGTATTTTTTACTATCTGCAGTTTAATAATAACGAAATGATGGAAATAATAATTCCATGGTGGAACGATGAAATACTCTGTTTTGCTAAAATCAAACCTAACTTAACTTAAAGTAATTAAACTAATTTGGACCGAGGTTAACTGGGTTAGATCTCTCGCGATGACTGAACTAAACAGCGAAGGCAGAAGGGGTGATTCCATCACTTAAGTCCAGTGGAAAAATTGCCACTTTGAAGCGAGAATCACTGTGGATTGCATAAATACGCACAAGTCCAAGAGGCACGTATCTCGTAAACAAATTTTGCTGAAGCTTTCGAAGAGAGCATTGCTTTATCGAATATCATCAAGTACGGAATACGAATTGAAATTTTTAATCGCGATGTTTAAACATCGAATAAAAAAAAGTATTTGTTTCTAATTCACGAACCGTACGCTCGAAACATTATCGAATCATTTTTTAGCTTTGGAAATTTTTGCAAGATGGACCTTGCCCTCTTAAACGTGCACGAACCTTTTTATATCCACCTAAAAAAATAAACTAACTTGAACTATAAATTTACAGGTCCTTGAAGAACGAAAGTAACGCTCGTCAAGCCTCTAAACATTCAACGCCTATCAGGAACACATGATTTATTCAAAACATTATGGAGCACATTTATGCAAATACTTTCCGCCTGCGCACCCATTAACGCGCGATTTTTATAAATAATTAATTCAACGCGCGCCAGAGAAAAAAAAAATACGTTTGCATTTGCGTTCGAGGCATCATTACTTTAATGACATAAGAATTATCAAGGTTTGCTGAAACGCTTCATAAATACACCATGGATTCAATTTGTTCTTTTTGTGGCATAAACCCGCCGTTTCTATGAAAATACATAGTGTATTTAATTAGAATCTGCGTTTCGAGATTCAATTAGCTATCGAGGAGCATGCTGGATAAGGCAATAGGGCATTCGTGACACAAGGATGAATAAACATAAGAAAACGTCATAAAAATGTTACATAAATGGCCTATGAACGAATCTGCAAAGGAAACCTAATTACAAAGTTTGTTATAATTAACATTCCAACAATTTAGTAATTAGATTTACGAGAGTGTGTATTTAAAAAGATTAAATATGCGATCGACGTTACATTTTTAACTATAAACATATAATTAAAGATCTTTTACAGCGGACAAAATTGGTATTTTATATTTATCGTAGGGCACTGCTGTTTATTTAAAATTTCACATTAACTTTCATTTTTCTGATGCCGTTGTAAAGTAATTTTGTCAGTTTCGTGTCAAAACATGGCTAATTATAGAAGCCCGTCTTTAGAAAAGGGGAACAATCTATCTTTGGTTTTCTAAATTCGTATGAAAGATGCAATTTGTTTTAGGTTCTTCTACGGATTTAGCTACCACGAAGATTGGATCGAATAATCACCTACACGATAATCAAACGTTCGTTAAAAATGAAGAATTTAATTTGAAAAATTCATAAACTATTCCAAACGTTATAACTGTATCATCAAGTACTGTTTCTTAGAAACAGCAAAAACATTTAACGACTCTGATAGATGCGACACACCTTAATTGTTATAATGAACAAAAAGGATGATTGATAGCAACCATTAAACGAAAAATATAAACGATTATTATGCAATTAAAATAATGATTCTTAGAAGAACGTTATATCCAATTTAAAGAAATTTAAAGGCAACTTTCACGATACTCTATGCAGCCTATGGTCATTTCCTAAAATAGAAAGCACAACCTTCACGTTCATATTTAAACGCATACTTTACTTATCATACGTAACGGATACGTAACGAAACCATAGCAAAGACAGGCGAAAAGTTTTGAGCTAATATTACAGTAAGATAATTATAAATAACAAAGTTATATGAACTCAGCTTCTTTTTTTCTCGATTTTTTTACCTTTCAAATTTTGTGAAATTATTTTCAAAATAGACGAAATCTGCAACTAATAGTATTGTCTGATTGTTATATTTTAAGAATATTTCTTTGTTATATTCTATGGCGACAAAACAAATTCTAAAGTAAATGCATATCTGAATCTCAAAGGTAGAATTCGGCTGTCGATTATAATCGATGACAGGACTCAGTCATAAATACATCCTTGACAACTATAATCGATATGGAAGTATACGAATATAATATTATATCGTTGTCTAAAAAATGTGGTAAAAATAACTTTATTAATTTTATTGTCTGACGTGATTTTCCGTTAAAAATTATACACAATTTGTATAAAAAAACCTTCCTTGTTTCCCCAACAGTGTTCAAGATTGCATTAGGGGATGAAACTATAGAGTAGTTTCTTAAATACCGTCGTTGGAAAAACCCCCTATTTTTGGCTGTTCTACAAACCTATGTATATTCTATGATTAAAATCGGGCGAAGAGGAAAAGCATTGAACCATCAAGTAAGCGCTCTCGCACCACCCGCTATTCGTGGGTCGAAGATACGCGAAAGCTTTCGATGGAATCACGGAGAGAATCGTTGGACAATCGTCGCAGTTTCACTGTTCGTAACAATTTCCAGTGATGAAAGACTAGCGTACAAACGCGCGTTTCCTTGGTATATTTTCATCCGAAATACACGGATAGATTATAGGTGCGCAACTGCACAACGAGCGCAACAGTTGTTACTCATAAATCGCGCGCTCCAAAAAGTAGTTTGCGCGCGCAATCGGTAGCCACGCGACGGCGGCGCTCGTTTTTCTTATTTTGTTAAGGTTAACGCGTTTTACTAATTATCGAAGATTAAAAGATTAAACCATGATGTTTATATCGATAGCTTAAGAACAGTAATTCTTAATCTTTTTTTTCCACGTTTTTCAACTGTACAAACACTAACCGCCATATGCAATATAAATGTACCTATAACTTGTGTTAATAGGAAAATAAGACTATCGTTAGGATCTTATTCTTATCTGAAATCAATAATTCTATAATTATCAGCGACCATTGCTTTTCCAGTATCATACCATCCAATAATAATTAACCCCACAGTTGAAAACGTAATTTCGTTGTTCTTGATGTTCGTCTTATAGAATCATCTTTCGAAAGGATTACTATTAGCAGTCGAACCAGTGTCGAGCAAATGATTTGTTTACATTTATCATGACTATTTCTACAATGTAATTATACCGTAATTGCACAATAATTGCCACGTAATCGTAGTATGATTAGTGTTGTAAAAGCAAGCCATATACGAGCTTCGAAGTTGCGGGGGTTCGAAACTTTAAGGTCAGTTTAAATCATACTTTTACAACACTAATCATAATCACATATTATTAAACCGTACAAGTATAGTGTAATTATTGTATAATTATAAAGTAATTATAATGGAATTACTTTATAGAAATAATCAAGGCAAATGTGTTCGGATTATAATTTGCCCAACAAAGCCCAGCGCTTCTCTGGTACGTCTGTCCATTACTTGCTATTTCTACTTGTGCCAATGTCCAAGTCGTATTCTAATTGGACGCGTACCCGATGAGTTTTCACGGTTAATTTTCATCTGTTGCGTTGATGTTCTTTCACGCATATTTGAAAATTCTTATATATAGGAATCCTAACTAATTAACAAAATCGAAATATAGTCAATGATCCTCTGTGATACTTTCTAGTGAAGTTCGAGATTTTAAACGTTCGAGATATTTGGATATTTGTTTCAAAAATAATATTTGATGATCACACATTTCTTAAACAATAACCAACTGTTATTATTCATTATTTACTCGAGTGTATTCGGTTGTCTAACATTTGTTAAAAACGATTGCAAAAGTGTTGTAACATTGATTTTCAAAACTGATCCTGGTCATGCATTAATGGGAACTGAGTTTAAAGGCAATTGTAAACAATCGAATTTGTATACAAATTTTATCGTTTGAACGTTATTCGTCCAAAATTCTCGAGATAGCTTCACGAACGAATATTGATCATTGTAAGATTATTCGTCGCTTGGTAAAATCTGACAAAATGTAAATGAATATGTAAATTTCCAATGAATACTTGGCATTGTTATTATTCGTTATTTATTTGTCATTCGAAAGTTTAAATGAATGGAGTTAATCAGTTGATTACGGTAGAGATGCAAAAAAATTTATTTTTGAAGTAGATCGTTTTCTGTGAAGCAGAAGTTGTGATAAAAAATGAATTTTACGCGATGAACGAAAACGATCGAAACGATGGTTGGATAAAGCAGAACGCGCAAAACGCGAAGGATAATGGTTACCGTTTGGTGGTCATAAGCAGCCCTTATTCATTATTGTTCGCAACATTTTGCTTGCATCGAAAATATAATTAATTAAAATATAAAATACGTCACAAGATCCTCTCTATTCCCTTGATTACTATTGTTTTGAACATTTGAATCGTTCTTAGTGAAATAATTTGTTCCGACACGAAGAATTTTTTAGGTTCAAAACATCTGATTTTTATCAAATTGGAATAATAAATGTAACTGATCGTTGGAAAAAAAAGAGACAAATCACACGGACATGTTTTAGGTTACATGTTTTTGATGTTTCGTTAAAAGGAAGATGACGTTTCATGCACACCAATCTAATACTTGTCACATTTCGAAACCGGCTTTTTGATTCGGTTGCAAGTTCCTGCAATAAATTCGTACACACTGTAACACGATTCGGGGACAAGGATACACTTTTTACAGTCACACAGAATCGATCGCGACGATCGATCATCAGTACTGATGTTGAACACACTTTACATCTATACGAAAATAGGCCGACAGGTTTGCCCGATACAAACCTTCTTCATGATTCCGGTTTTCCTTTTGGAGAAGGTGGTATACCTTCGGAGCTTATTGTCGATGTACTCCATCTTAATCTTGACCCGTCCTTTGGTTTTCTTGCCATTCGATGGGGGTGACTTTTTTGGTTGACCCAAACTCGTGAAGGATTCCTCCAGATTGTCGGGTACACACTCCGCGGACATTGGCATACCTTGTTGTTGCGAAAGCGCCTGCCGTGCGTTGCTGTCATCGTAACATACGTCCGAAGTGGTCCTCTTGATACCCCTCTGTATAGGTCCCACGCCGGCGTTCGGTGCGCCTGCAGCAGCCGCTGCGGCCATCATGGTGGCGCCACCGCGGCTTATTTGAGAAGTTGTAAGCTGGGAGGTGGACGGTCGGCCGTACATTTCCGAGCCAGCGTCGCTGCCTATCATCCCCATGCTGTACCCAAGACTTGCGTACCGACTATCTCTTCCGCCGCTAGGGTTGTCCATTACGGACTCGCACACATTTATTCCCTTTCCCTCGGCCCTTCTCCACCACGGAATCGCGAAAAGTCGGCGCAATGTTTCCCACGTGATCAACCATCTAGAGGAACACGGGACAACAACGCGCACTGCACGAGCGCTCCCCGCGAACTGAATGCGCGCTGAGTATCGTAACTTGACCTACGTGCTAACGCGGTGCCTGCGTACGTTACTGCGCAGCTTCTACCCCCACCAACATCCACGCACGCGGTAAAAATGTAGTCCACTCATTCCAAATAGCGTTTCCTGGAAGAAGATTTTGAAAATTTTTTTTACGAAAAAATAAAGGGGTTCACGATGGTTCCCGATCCGATGAGAAGCGCGTTTTGCGCGACTCCGATATTCCGTAATTCGTGGCGGAAAGATCGCGCGGAGTGGTACAAGAATCGACGAGAGGGCGTCCCCGGCTGCCATATTTAGAAGTAGACGTTACCATATTAGGGAAAGTTTGCCAAATATGGTGAACAGAGGTGGTCCTTCCTTTTCAAATGATCACTCGGCGCGCCGCGACAAAACACCAATCCAACTGACAGTAGCGCTTCCTGCACGCCTCTCCTCCCCCTCTTCTCTTTTACCGGTATGTCCTTCCTATTTCTACGTGCTTACTAAAACATAAGGCTGATAAGCGGCTTTCTGTATAGAGCCGCTATTTCTTGCCGCGTCCGAGCTTTCGTGCTTTTATCGACCTTTGTTTACGTTTAAATCATCCGAAGTATCGCGATTTCATTGAATGTGATCTGATCGTAAGATGTTTAAAAACAATACAATAAGGTACAACGCGTACAAATAACCCTTGTAATACTTAGAGTAATTTCATTACAACAGGGTATCGTTTATGCTGGCATTGGAGCATCGATCAGGATATTGCTCTTAATCCTGGTGAAATAATCATTTATTTCGTTCATATACTCTCCACATGAATCGTATTTTAATATTTCTAATTGGTTAGAACATATGTATAAGAATGAATCTGAATACTTTACAGAGTTCAACATAGTCATGAATACAGAGATTCAAATTTTTTGATATTTTTCTTTTACACGTAAATATTTCGATATTACTTACTATTCTTATATGCAAACTTATCCATCTAAAATATTGATAATTCATATAAATTGACTATAATTACTAATTTGCATGTTGTTTTGTTATTTAACCTAAATAAAAGAAATAAAAAATGTATCCAGAAATCTATATTAATGATATGTTTACATATATACAACTTAAGTCTTGTCTAGATGTAATATGTCCAATAAACTATTATATCTAAGATAATACAAATGTATAAGTATTAGTAGTGGATGAACACAACTTGTATATACAAATTTTTCAATGTATTCTTACACTTTATATATAAACATTTCTTAACTACTTTACAAATTATTCATTTTTTAATGATATTCTTGGTTCTTATATTACCCTAAAACGATTATTAATTTACATTATTTAATGAAATGATGATAATTATATATTTTTTACATTATGTAGTCACATACACATTTAATAAGACTAATTGCATATTATTATCTTTATTATAAGAAGTACCCATAAAAGTAAGTTATTCGCCAGATGCTATTGTATGTGCTGCAGAAATTAATGTATCATGAACTTCTCTAGCATATGCAACTTGTGCTCTGACAGTCATTAAAAACTGGGGATAGGTTAAAGCAGGTCCATCTTGTACTCCTACAGTGTCAGTACGTGTTGGTATGACAGACACTGGTAAATATCGTACAGCACTGGAATTCTGTGATAAACACTCTATAGAAGTCTTCAAATGTAATTCTATTTGATCACAGATAGAATAAAATTCTTCCATATTTTTATTAAAACGATGATCAGGTTGGTCGCTACCCTTAAGAGATCCAACATCTACTAAACTATTTTGATGTAATGTATGTGCTGCAGTTTTAAGAGCTATAGCCAGTGATTCTCTTAAAGGACCAATTAATGATTTAACTTTAGAAATATTATCAAGCTTTTCTTGTGCTTGTTGTTGTTGCTGTTGTTGTTGTTGAACTTGCTGTGGCTGTGCCTGCTGTGGATTTTGAGAAAGTTGAGGATTTACAGACTGAGTCATCTGTCCTACCCCGATTGCCCCTGGTTGTTGAATAGGGGGAATGTTCATATTGATCCTAATAATGCAACAATTAAACAAGATTCATATATTATAACAATTCAATTATAACCTTAAATTGCAATTAATTTATTGCAGATACCGTCTGTTAATATTAGATTTATTTCTATGAATTTCGATATATCCCCTTTTATTAATATGAAAAATGCAAATAGAATTTTACCTATTTTTTTACAAAATATCTGCAGAATGGATAAAACACTTTACTACATTCGAACATGTTTTGTTTTCCATTCAAACTTCAAGTTCACTGAGAAATTTCCTACCATTCCGTTAGGCGTTAGGGAAGTTCTTCGTTACTAATGTCGCCGTCAGTGCAATCAATTATACTAAATTTGGTCACACTGCTCTAGGGAAATGGGCCGAAAAATACGTTGGATGTAACGTCTAATTGTATATCTTGTTTATGGTGACACGGAGTCGCATTAAGTGATAGGTCTATTCTGTACTTCATCTGTGTATGAACGAACCTACTGACATAAATTTTGTTTGTAAACAAGAGGAAAAAATTTACGATGGATGCACGAAGACGAGACAGAGAACAAATTGGGTTATGTGGGGTTGACAGAATTTGGGGTAAATCGCCAACACGAATCGAAGAGTAAGAAATTACATGCTTCTCCTTAGTAAAATTTTATTATCTGAAACTAATCTCGGTGATTTAAAATACATTACAGTTGTTTTTCATCGGTAAAATTTTGTTATTGTTCGTAAATTCTATATACGTAGTAACTGTTAATGAACGTTTTGATGCAGTTCCGATGAAGATGACGAGTTTCATAAATATAAGGATAGCATTATACTGAAAGATAGGAAAAGGAAACATGAGATGAAGAAGAAGGTATGTGGAAGAGTATAACATAGTGAGTATAATACAGAGAGTAACAAAAGTATTTGGACACTATGATATCTTTGGATCTATTCTTGTGTTCTAATTTAATTATTTGTACAGCAAATACATCAAATTTATTAATATTAAATGTTATTAACAATTTTTTTATTACTCACTATATGTGGATCATCAAATATACACAGAAACTGTTTTCACCACTTACTTTACTAAACTTCAATACTGGAAGCAACTAATTCTGCTTAATTCATTGTTATTACTGTAATTTTCATTGTTGGTTTAATATTTATAATTGGATTGTGTTATTATGTTTCTTTTAGAAAAGTAAAAAACTAAAAAAGGAGAAGAAAGCCAAAAAGGAAAAAAAGAAAAAGCGCAAGAAAAAGAAGAAAAAGTCAGACAGTAGTTCTGGTAGTGATTCTGAAGAATTAGAATGGGTAGAAAAGAATGGATCCAATGACAAAGCAAAAGTTAAGAGAGGATCCAGTTCAGATGATAGTGGCGATGAGAGCATATTAGGTCCAGTTCAGAAACCACATGTCACATTGTCTGCTAAAGACTTTGGTAAGGCTCTTTTACCAGGAGAAGGTGCTGCCATGGCTGCATACGTGGCAGAAGGAAAACGTATTCCTAGAAGAGGTGAAATTGGTTTGACATCTGAAGAAATTGCTTCCTATGAATCTGTTGGCTATGTTATGAGTGGCAGCAGGTAACACATTTTAAGTTGGTTTATCATAATTGTATAACATGTTTGCTGCCATACCTGTATAACAGGTTTTTCCTTTGCCATTTTTAAAAAATGCCTATAGCATCTTGGAATCCATATAGTTTCCTGTACTCGCCGCCAGAGGGACCGTTCCTCTCGCAAGCACTCGACCGATCTTCCGTTTGTATATATGCAAACCTCAAATGACTACCAATATGCTAGCATTTAAAGCAGGGTCTGTTAGGATTCCACCAGCAGACCCTGGCGAAACACTCGCTCTCCTCTCTCCCTGTCCTTTTCTTACCATCTCGTCAACAAGACCCCTAAACATTGGTAGCAACTTTTCTTGACAGCAAACATGTTACTGGAAAATACTTTTATATTTTTTTAGAAAACATTACCAAACGGTAACAAACTTTAATATAAAGATATAATTTTCTTCTTTTTACAGACATCGACGAATGGAAGCTGTCCGTATTCGTAAAGAAAATCAAATTTATTCTGCTGATGAAAAACGCGCGTTAGCCATGTTTAGTAAAGAAGAACGACAAAAACGAGAGAATCTCATTTTGGGGCAATTTAGAGAAATGGTTAACCAGAAATTAGCACAGGAGCAAAAGAACAAATGATATAATTGTTTTATACAAAAAGATAAGTGACCATTTTCATCTAATATGATAATAAGACATTTCTTATTAGTTTCTGAGAGTTGATATTAATTGAAACTTTTGGGAGTAAGCTGTGTTCTTTGAGGAAAATATTCCAACATTTTGCCAACAATGTAGCTAGTTTCTTCAAGCATCAAATGTTAGACCTTAAACATGGCTTACATCTAAAGGCCTCAATATAATATGATAATGTACATATAATGTGTAATAACCTACTTAATATTCTAATTATACAATTTATTGTATTATTAATTAATTTCAATTTAAACAATTGTTGTTTTCAATGATTAATAATATTTTACGTGTAAGTATGCCTAAATAGATAAGAGTTGACTATTATGTACAAAAAATCTACACCTTTTGATTACTTTCCCAATCTGACCATCCTCCAACATAGTTCTGTACACTGAAACATAAATTATTTGATTTAATTATAGATATTGTAAAATATATGTATAAATAATCTATTGGGAATTGCATGCATTCAAGAAAATTCACATACTTTTGATATTCATGCATTAGTAATTCTTTCTGTACCATTTCACTTCTTTTACCAGAATAGCAACTTAGTATAATTCTTGTATCCTTTGACGGTTTTTCTTTATCAAATTTATCTTTAAAGTCCTTTCCAGAAAGATTCAATACTCTTGTAACATCACCCACTATAATGGTATAATACTATTTAATAATAATATTTTAATAAAATAAAATATTTAAATATACATACTTGGTATATGAATACTTCCTGGCAATTTTCCAGTTTGATCAACTTCACTTTGTTCTCTGACATCAATGATCAGTACACTATCATCTTTCTGAGCCTCTAAAATATCTTTATAATAAACTTTCAGAGATTTTTGGTCACCTTCAGACATGGTATTAAAATTACTTTTAAGAAATATTGGAATTGAGAAATGCAAAGTTGAATGGTCTAAAATAGGATAATCATTAAAGAATGAACATTTAATACGTCAAAACAATTGAATGTTTAACAAGTTTGTGCAAATTACCGTGTATAGCAAATGTTCTATTACGTGATGTACTGTTAAACAATTTATCATGCGTAAATGTTTTTTGTACAATACGTGAATTGCAACGGAATGATCTAAAAGAAACGACAGGTTTACAAAACAATCGTGTTTTGTTGTAAACCATAATTAGTTCACGAGTGATAGACATTTCTGGTCCGTACACAATTATGAAATGTGAGCTGCATGTGCAGTATTCAACATTTAAATTCCGTGAACTACGTGTGAAAGCGCAATAAGTTAAGCTACATTCTGAATAGCTTTGCTATAGGTCCAGTGATATTACATACACCGTACATTTTAAACGATTACATTGTTATCATATAATCGCATTTTATGTTGCTGTTAAAGATGAGATAACGATAATGTTTTTTTATTAATTTCCGAGAGTAATGAGAATGAAGCATATCAATGAACGCAACGTAAAAATTTATAGTAAAAAATAATAATACAGAAAATTATTACACGGTATTTCGTATCGCATGTTAATGTAATGTTTACTTTGTAATAAGTACGTTACAGTGTGAAAACAAAAGCAACCGCAGAAACAATAAACATAGGTCAGTCGCATGCCTAAAGAATAATGAACCCGACATAAAATTCTTGCTCAAGAGTAAGATGTAAAAACATTTGTTCGATTCATACAAAAGAGGATAAATCTTTATGGTGATTGTAGCGCGAGATAAAAAAAAAAGAAGTATACAGATGAAATTCTTCGTGCATTGCTTTATAGTGAATCATCTACGACGAAGAAAAAAGTTGGGAAAGTTTAGAAGAGCCAGGAAGAGTGTATCCCGTTTTCGTATATGTCGCACCCTGATGAGGAATGCGGGAACTAGTAATTTTTATTTCTCGTGCGTGGAGCAGTAAAGTGTACTATTTATTGAAATAATTACGACACTCATCCCGTTTTTGCACCTTCGCATAATGTGAGTAATTAGAGAACAATCTTGTATGGCCATCTGTTTACCATTTTGATAACGCGGCATGTGAAATTCCTTGTTGGCTACATATCGAAGATATTCTTTTGTTTATTTATGCAGTCCTTCAAATTCAGAAAACTGCAAAAATATTAAGATCGCGTGCGAATGCAGCGTTCTCAGGTTCGTAATAGGCATGCACCGACGAGTCGGGTTCGCGAGACCTCGAATACTTTCCCGCTGCGATGTTACGCATTCACGAAAAATTCAATATCTCCGGATTATCAACATTCCAGAGTGTTGACACCTCTGTCAGAGTGCTCTGCTTTACTATTACTAGAACGTTGCCGTCTCTTTCTCGACTACAGATTCCACATAATTCTCTCTCGGTTTCTCATTTTCGAATGCCGCGTAGTGTCAAATAAGAGTTGCATGAGTAGGTTTACATTCCCAGTGGTTTTCAGTGTTTAGAGATGTGAGAGTGAATAATCTGTGAGCAATTGTTCGCATCCTTTTCGTTCGCCTTCTCTGTGAGTTTCGAGGTGAAGAGCTTTTAGATATTGGTTGAAGTTAGAGCTAGGTAATGCTTCGAATAAAAGTATTTGAAATACTGTTTTAAACACGAAAACTTAACAAATAATAGATTTATTTCAATAGTCAACAAGTGAAATAAAACTACTTTATTTTGGATCGTACATACGTGGAATCAGTTTATATGCCTGAAATCAAATCTTTCGCTGGTGAAAATAAGACAAGGTGATTAAAAATTGCTTGAATGTACATCTGTAGTTGATCGAATTTATTTTAGTCCATAATTATGCAGTTCTCAAGACTGCACAATCTAATGAGAGTTGTACATTTCGTTAAATACTCTTGACACCTATTGTCTTACAGCTTAATAAAGTAGGGTTTTATTACATACTTTTACCGTGTTAATGTATTACAAAAATCAGAATTTCCAAATTGGTGTTCTATAAAATATATTTCATTAAAATTTTACCTAATTCTGATTACATAGTCTCTCTTACATATTTGGTTTACAGTTTAGTTGATTATTTGGATATTTGTAATTAATATGTAACATAGTATTCCATTTGCATTTTCTTCAATTGTTATTTCAAATAATATTTCAAATACTTTTGCTTCAAATAGTATTCGAGTTTGTACCTTCTAATTTTAAATAATTTAATTCAAATAAAATAGTATTATATTTTAAATATAACAGATTTACTATTTGAATGATATATTTTATCTAGTATTGGTTGTAATGCATCCAAAGAAAGTTTTAATGAAAATAACCAAGTTATGGGTTCAGTTTTCTTAAATGTGTTTCCAAACATACATTCATTAATTTTCATTTTGCTCACTTTGATGAAATTAAATTAAAAAATCAAGGAATTATTAATGTTTGTATCAAGAATTAATATCATTTGTGTAATTGTTGATACTTATATTGATTTATTCCTGCAATATAATGCATATATGGAGATTTAACACAAAATTTTACAGAGTACAAAAAATTTCAGTTTAGCGATGCATTTATTAAAATCAATTTTAACATTATACTTTCAGATAAAATATAGAAGGCATAAATGAAAAAATAAGAAAATGAGTTCTCTGCAACAAGGTAGCAGATTCTTGCCTTTTTCGAATAATAATATACAGAGGAAGCAATTATCAATGCAAGGTGAGGAATTTGGAAATCAAAATTAATATATGTTTTTTATGATGTCTAGTTTTCCTTCTTTTTTATCGTATTACTTTAAAATGATTATAAATTGCTAACATCTTTCATGGTGCATGTTATATATATTTGATAGGTGGTCTTCCACAAAGCTTAAGTGGTAGTGAAACTGATGTTTCTACATCAAATGAAAATTTAACCAATGAAGATCGATATGTAATTAGACATACAGCACGTCAAGAACCCCAAGGTCAAGAGAATCAGCAGCAAAGTCCATCCAGGTCTTCCAGTCACAAAGAAAATATACCAAATATACAAGTAAATATGAATTAATTTATATATAATAAATAATAATATAGTTTCAATTAGTCAAATGGCAATAATTCACATGTCTTGATAGTTATACGGTATTTATTGCATCTTTTAATTATCTAAATTAGGTTAGTCATTTTTACATATCACACTATAATTTGTGATGCATCCTATTGTCCGTGAAATGGGCGTGGATGTTGCCTAATGCCAAGTTACCTGACTATGTTATTCTTACGTACCACAAATTACAATCAGTATTATTAAGTTACATAAGTGTAAACTGCTTTATTGCAATCCAGGGTAACCTACTCAACAGAAACAGTTTGAAGGACAGTTTGAATGGATCAAACAGGAACAGTTTGAAAGAGAATTTGAATGGTTCTAACCGAAATAGTCTCAAAGACAGCATTAATGGGTCTAATAGAAATAGTCTGAAGGATAACTTAAGTAATCGCACCAGTGTAGGTTCAAACAGAAGTAGTTTAGACGTATCTACAAGCTCGTACAACACACTCATCATACATAATGCTAATGATGATAACTCGTGGGTACCATCTGGAAGGTAATATAAATTTTTTAAAAAGTTACAGAACGTTTATTTGTGTATTTATATAAATAATAAATTTAGTTCCTAATATAAACTTGATAAAAATTGTATCGTTTATTGTTTTGCTTTTAAGAATATATATTGGTAGTCAAAGAATAGTGTTCTCATTTTTAGTGTAAATTTTTAATAGGTACTTGATAAACATTAATTATTTAATGCACAGGTTATCAGGTGTTGTAAGGGAACATGGAGATATGGGTTACTTATATTGTGATGGTGGTGGAAAAGGACACTCAAACAGTCCTACTATGCAGTCTTTATCAAATTTATCTCATGAAGATCATGTTTATGAGCAACCTAGTAATGGAGGATGTCAAGAAATTACAGATATACCAGACGATTATCTAAGTCAGTCACAGGTGATTATTTCATTAGTATTGTAATGTATATACATTTCACAAATGCATACACAGAATTTAACCCTTTACGGACATTTAACCCTTTGTCGACACTCGTTCGCGAAGGGTTAAGTTATCATGAGAAGAGTAACTAAATAAAAAGTGATTTTTATTTGTATTTCTTTACACCAAGCAGGTTTTAAAACATCTTGCAAAAGAAGTGAAAGTACCATCGTATAGTAAACTTGCGAACAATGGAGGAAACATCGATGTGAGAATGAGAGATGGTGATAGAGGAAAGCAGAATGACAGTGAATCCGAAGACAGACCTCCGCCTTCATACATGTCTGTTTTGTTACCATTGAAAAGCAAGTCCAGACTTGTTGGGCCTATGGAAAAATTGACATTATCAAGATCACAACCAGATTTGTCCAGGATTGGCAAGCCAGACATTGATAATTACAATTTGCGAGCTACTTCTCCACGGTAATTTAACAAATATTATTCGTAAAATAATATTATTCAGTAATAGTTTAACAAATGTTATTCGTAACAGGCCTCAAACGAAAGGAAGAGAGGAGACGGAATCTGCGGCGGCTGAACTATGGCCACCGTCAGAAATGATTCAGATCGTGATCCAAGAAAACAGTGCCTTAAAGTTAGAGTTAGAACGATGTTACAATAAAGTTGCTAAATCTCAGAAATTGGAGCAAGAAATTGCAAAAGTGCACAGGGCCCATGAAGAATTAGCGGCATCGTGCGAACGGAGAGAGAAACTTGAACGAGCTGCTAGATTAAGGCTACAAAACGATTGCAGACGATTAACCGAATTAAATCGTGCATTGAGAGATCAAATAGACTTACTGTCCGCACGTACCGATAGCCCGCCGATCGTGGAATCTATGAGAAAGGAATTAACTCAACGCGAATTATTAATTGGACAATTGATTACACAAAGTAAGTTTTATCACTCATTCATTATTTAATATACATTATGGGTTTACGCTACTAGAAATATTACCTTGATTTTATGGGATTATCTGATGATTTGATTTCTGTATTAGATAAAGAATTAGCCGCAGCGAAAGAAAGACAAGAAATCGAATTAGCGGCGCAACGAGCAACATTACAGGAACAACGTACACATATAGATATCTTAGATACTGCTCTCACTAATGCCCAAGGGAATGTTGTGCGCCTTGAAGAAGAGGTAAATATTTCAAGTTTTAACGGAATATGAAATTTTTCATAAATTGATCGTTATAATCGTATTTATTGTTTTCATAGTGTCGAAAGAAACAAGTGTACGTAGAGAGAGTAGGCCAACTCCAACGTGCTTTGTCTTCTCTTCAAGCGTCTAGCGATAGAAGAGAAGAAACAGAAAGACAGTTGAGAGGTCAATTAGAACGAGAATTAAGGGAAGGTGGAGGTGGCGGTGCCAATGGCAATGAACAATCCTTCAATGGAGAAACGATCGCAGAGTTAAAACGACGAATACGCGAAAGAGACGAAAAAATTATGTCGCTCGAGGGCGATGTTGCGAAATGGGAGCAACGTTATCTCGAAGAAAGTGCTTTAAGACAAGCTGCAATTGACGCAGCTAGTCTTCCAAAGTAAGTTGCCTTGATTAAGTAAAAGATAATACACCATCAAGGGCCGTTATTAATCTTAATGTTCGCGTTTCTAATAATTAGGGACGCTAAAATAGCTGCGTTAGAAAAAACGAGTCAAGACGCTGAAAAATTAATCGCGGAGGCACGTTCCGAAAAAATGAGACACATGGACGAAGTGCATGCTGCACAGAAAAAATTGGCAGATCTTGAATCTAGGTAAGTGATTGTATATACTGCTATTTCTATATCATTTAATGTTTCCCTTATCTTTTACAAGTTTTAAATTATTATATATTGATTCTGAATTAAAACAGTTACGAGAACGGAAAAATGTCGTAACTGTTACATATCGATTCTAACCTATAATAATTTCGATTACAGTTATAGATCTGATATACATATGTAGAAACTGAAACAAGTCAAAGTCGATGAATCGATATATCGATATGTCACTTTTACCTGTTAAACTTCGATCTTATTTTCGTATACGCATCGATTACAGTGCAACTGATATAATCATTCCTTTGTTGTACAGAATGAAAGATCTAGAGTCGAAATTGGCTGAAAGGGATGCAATGATCAGAGTTCTTCAAAAACATACGTATGATAAAGATAGCAGTAGCAGTAGTGGTGTTGGTAGCTATCCAGCCGCCCATTCGTCTCATTCGAGTACGTCGGCGGATCATCACACTGCGCTGACGAGCACGCCAGAACTTGGTAAAAGAAATGTTTCTATTAAAAATTGCCCATACAATTTTGTTTAAACATTCAATTCTATGCCATTTAAAATTGACGACGACCGAGCGAGCAGTTTCTAACTTGTAATTTTGCGTTTAAAAGTGAGCAGTGTACTGGGCGGAGGCAGTGGTTATGGAAGTACTGGCTCGTACGGTGTCACGGACAGCTATAAGTACAGGAAACAAGGCAGTTTCGAGCAAACGAATAAAAGTCTCGACGATCAGTTAAAAGAGCTAGACTCCCAGCTGCTTAGTAAGGTATGCAAAATACAAGTAAATGTATAATTTTCACGCCGTTAATGCCAGTTTCTTGAAATAGTAGCCGTGCAAAGAACAGTTAAAAATAATAAACATGTATTATTTATTGTCACCATTTCACAATCATTTCACAGAGTTTTTAGTTTTTCCACATCATCTGCGCCTGACATAATATTTTTATTTTGCGAATATTGTACTTTAAATTCTTTAGCATTTACTTCATAGCTACAGCAGAATAAGAAAATATTACCGATTGTGTAGTCAAAGGTATTCAAGTGTTATGTTTGATTTAGTTGTATAATGGAGAATAGTTGGCGCGTATTTTGTTAAACTGTTGCAGGCTAAATGCTGTAATTACACTTCCTTTTTATTATATAACACGTATTAATATCAATATATACATGTCCATGCAATGAAATTAGCGTTTTTTTCTTAAACAAATATGAAAAGATATTAGTAAACTATTTATGAATGTTTTTCAGAACAGAAAATACATGAACATAATTGGAATTATTAATAGTCTAAAAAATGAATAATTTAATACGTTCAACGAATAAAGGATAAACATTTTCATTGCGCACCAACTATTCTCATATTGTGTTATGATTGCCATTATTTTGCATAACAAAGTGTGCCACTTAATTTTTTATTTCTCAACAAATTTTGTATTTTTTTCTTTTCTTTTCTTAATGAAAAATGTACAGAGTAAGTTTTTTTATTATCCACCATGATTTTTTTTTTACAATATTTTTCTTGAGACTTATCTTTTTAAAATTAATTTTTGTCTGCGTTACCGACCAATAGAACAGCCATGGTTGCTAATAAAAAGCGAATTGTGTATAAAATTAGCAGACCATTTTTGTAGGTAATATGTAAAGAATGCACTCACCGTTCATTTTTGTTCACAAATGCAGTAAACTGTATTTTTACTAATACAAATCTTTGTGTGCCATTGATTTTTCGTTTTACAATTAACTACGCAACAATCGTGTGTAGCAACATATAGTTGGGTCGAAGAGTGAATCGATTCGAATGATTCCCTACCTAGCACATCGATAGGAGAATTCTGCACACTGTTGGGTAATTATTAATGTAGGTGCAAATTCAACTGGTCGCTCAAAGTCACGTTTCCGATTCTGAATTACGTCGCAAATTATTCCTTTTACCCTCCTTGTATGGTATAATAACGTATCTGCATATTCAAGAGACAGGGACCGCATGTGCTTGCAGATTTGCGCTGAATTTAGGCGAGTAACAGTTATTTAGAAAATTAATCTCATTTGATATGGAAAATTATTTCAATTAACTGTTTGTACACGAAAGTATTGGAAATTGTTTGTAAAATTATTTTAAAAGACAGTAAATTGAATACAAAATAGGTTTTATTAAGATGTAGTATATTTTTAAATATTTTGTATAAATAATGTGCAGATCTGATTTACGTGAAGGCATAATAGAGGGTTGTCAAATAGTTAAATATAAAACACCTTAGTGGCCTTGAGCGGCTAGTAAATTTTGAAATGTTCGTTTAATAGTTAGTTCATGTATAATATCCAATTTGTTTGAAATTAAAATTTGTAAGATGTATAATATCTGTAATAGAATAGTTCCAGATTTGAGTTAAGCGATATCGAACAGTGTACCAGTGCGTTAATCACTAACGTGCAATAAAATATTTTATATTTTTTATTATATCTTTACGAGAATATTATTAATAAATTGGTGAGGCTTCCTCAACGAAAATAAGTCTAAACACGACATGATTTGGACTATTTTTAATTAAAAATTATGATAAATATAAAAATTTTAGTTTTTATTACAGGATAAAATCGTTTTGAATTTGATGCAAAAATTCGATCTTGAAATTTTGAACTACTCTACTACCCAATCCGGTGTGTAGGTCAGGAACATGAGAAATAGAGAATGGGGGCTCTCGTTTAACTATCCCCCTATCAAACGAGTCGATTCTTCCTTCGACCCGCCTGTAGTTTAATCGAAGAACTCAACGTTTACCTCCCTCTCTTAAGCCAAACTAACCCACCCCATCCGAATCCCGAGTGATCCCAGAGTGTGCATGCGCTGTTGTGGCGAGCACTAACCCCCCGTTCCAGGTCCCGGATCTCCTCTCCAACGCAGGCGTTCTGTTCTCTTGTTTCAGCGGGCACTTTGCTGTTTTCCAGGATTCTCTAATCCAGGCACTGCGTCGCGAAAAGGAAAAATACCCAAGCCACTATTGGCGGGTGTAGATAGTACAGGTACCTCGAGCACCGCCTCGAGCAAGAGTCGTCTGTTGGATGACTCGGGGGGCGAGGTCTCGCCGGGTATAATGGAATTCGCGAGCGCGGCCTCGAGGCTGAAAGGCACCGTTTCGAGATTGTCGGATGGCAAGCCCGAGGACATGATGCTGCTGGAGAAACAGGGCCGTAGCTCGCAGAGGCAAAGGATGCAGGAGGGGGAGCCGCGTCGTGCCGGCAGTCTTCCTCCCAGCTCTCTACCACGACCACCGAAGACTCTGAAATCGACAAACTCGCGCTACTGTCGGCTGAGCGACACGGAGACTCGCAAGAAGTCGGATCCCGGCCCGGCTCTGGACACTAACGCGAGCATGAAGGTACGCGACGCGAGTAACTGCACCATCGAGTACGGTAGATTCGACACGAAGGCCCAGCGTAGAAAGAAATCGTCCGGCACGGAGCCACTGGTTCCCAACAGTTCATCGAAGAAGCCGTCCTCTACGCCCGGTCACGAGTACGAGCGTCTGCAGGGCGAGAATCTCCGCAAGAAGCAGCCCTCCGTCTCGGAGGTGAAGCATAGGGAAACGCAGAGTCGCTCGTTGATACCGCCGCCGTCTCGTCGTATCGGGGAGTACGGTCGCCTCAGCGAGGGCACTCTCAGGAAGCAGACTGGTTCACGAGGACAGAGTACCGGCAGCACGGTTAGCAGCAAGAGCGGAGGACGCGATTCTGGCGGCACAGCTAGCAGCGAGGCGTCCACGTCGTCGTTGCCACCTTCCAAGGCGAGATCAATACCGCGCCCCAGCAATTACCGCATTCAGTTTTAATTTCCAACACTTCAAGAGTGGGTCTGGTACTTTCCCGGTCGACGGCGGTCTTTGAACGAACGCTCCTCTGAACGAAAACGGAACCATGCACTAAACGAAATGGAAAATACAGTGGTGCTTATTGTATTTTCTAATCTATGTAAATTGAATTTTTCACTCGTACACGTTCCGTGCCGCTGACGGCTCGCACGATCTTATTTTACACGTTTGTAACGCTTATAAGACTGCAAATATTATTGTCATGGAAAAGGGGTAAACGTACAAAACGCGCTATGAAACAGAACGAATAGTTTTATGTAGCAATTTGTTATTAATATTATACACTGCGACGTATTGTATTGAAATGGTGGTCGTCGGTTCGCCTCCTTTTTCGTTCTTATGCTCTCAGAAAACAAATCACGATCCTTACTATATTCACCATAGTGCTCAATAGTTATACACTATTAATGAGTAGTAAGATATAGTTCACGATTGACGTACGGTATAATTACACTAGACGTATTAATTATGTGTCAGTTCATGATATTTTAAATCGTTTCATAGCAACGCTGAAAATTTTAAGCGGCCTGAAACTAGAGGTTCTCAAACTTTCATCGTTCATCGTGCTTTTAGAATCTCAGCAATATTTTACGGCGTTTTCAGGTCAAAAGAGATACCAAACAGTTTGATTTATTAAGCAGTTAAGTCTGAACAACTTATCATTTAATAATTATTTGTTTGGGCAAAAATTTGTCGTAATGGTACTTCGTCAATCCATCGATAGATGTCGCTATCGCTCTGAGAAGCACTCGTTGCAGGTTGGGAACCGCTAGTGTAAACGGAAGGTCCAATGCGGCACAGAACGTGTTAATAATAAATACCGATACGACGCGAATTGTTCTGTTGGTACATCGAGTTCCGTTTTTACTTGAAACAGACCCGTTCTCGAGGTAGTATTGGAGAAGAACGAAAGAACTGAACCGAATTAAGATTGTCGCCAACGAGGATATTTGTATGCCAGAAACGAGCGTTAAACCGCGTATGAAGTAAAACGGAATGCAGATTGGAAACAAATACTGACCGCAAAATCAAAAGCAAAACCAGCTTCGAGCCACCCTTTGCTTCGTTCTTCGGTAGTTCGATCGCATAGAGTCCTAACGTGCGTATATGCGCGAGCATGTACGTAAACAGCCATAATAATGAAGCGCTAGTTTCCTTCGATACTGTTAAAGAAGGTGAAGCCAATCGCACGATATAGCGAAGACACGTGGTATATTGTTGCGTAGCGATAGTGCATGACCTAGTCATTACCAAAGTAACTTCTATTATGAAATGGAATTGATTTCCTCTTATTTCGTATGCACCGTGCCTACGCCTCGGAACACTGCGACCTTTCATCAGATGTATTCATCGCGGAAAGAGAAAAAGATGTGCCTTGTAAGACTGCGTAAATGCTCGGTATAACTTATAGGATAAGAAAGTACGTCCAGGAACTTTCGAATTAGGAGGACGAGTTGTTCTTCGGCAAAACGCAAGCCTGTGGTCTCGAAAATCCTAGTCGGAACAATCTCAATTGGCTACTCAAGATACAGTGGGTGGAAAGAATACAGTGAACTACTAGGAGCACGCTCGACACTTTTGAGGTTATAAAACGCCAAACGAATTTTACGACGTTCGTTACAGGTCCGAAACACTGCCTTTGCGTGTTCAAGCTTTTTACACGTTGACTGTTGAGCTATTTTCATAAAACTTTCCTTGAGTATCGTTATAGGATTTCTCATAATTTATGCTTTCAACAGATTGACTGTCATGGTGGTCACTGATAGCGACAGAGTTGCATCGAAAGATCGTTCCTACAATTTTTTGAATTTTTTGAATTCCATACGCCATCCGAGAGTACATTGAAAACTATTAATATTGCAAGAAAAATTCAAATTTCAAATACTGTTGGAAACGATATCACTAGTATCCCAGGGTATCGTTTACCCCACGGATAATATCAACGTCATTTTGTTTGTAAAAAAATTCATTTCGATCGAGAGTGTAGTAGTGTTATATGGAATTTGTAAAGATCCCGTTTTGTCTCTTTCAGGGTGGCGTAAACGCTTAAAAAATGTCGTCGTAGTAACGGAAACATTAGTTTCATACATGTATGCATGACACGCCAGTCTACGCGTTAATGCGCTGTAGTGTATGCAAATTCAAGTGGCTGCTCAAGGTTATTGAAGGGTTAACCTCACCATACTGTTTAGTCTGTAGCAGTGGCGTACCAAGGGTGGTCGGAGGGTGCGGTCTACCCTCTGTGACGTCCATATTGCCATTGAGCGTATCTTCAAACTTGATCTCTCTCGAAAAAAGTTATTCGATATTTTTCTCATATTTTTTAATAAGGAATCACTCGTACATAATTTTTAAAATTTTACTTTCAGCGAACAGGATCCAAGACGAAACGTACTCCGCCCCCTTTGTTTCCTTACCCGGTCTCTCTTCCAACTTTTCCGTACCATTCGTCCGGAAGTTATTTCGCTGTTACGTCCCTTCGTGCTACGTTTGGTTCATTGTTTGCTTTAAAGACGCCACGGGAGAAACGGAGACGGCCGTAGAGCCAACGGGAGACATGCGTCCGTGGGATAAAGTAAATATTGAGAGCGAAGGAAAAAGGTAAATAGCTTTGGGTAGTTTGGTAGTTTGTGACGTCATTCACGGTTTGAATAAGTGGCCTTGAGCGGACAGTTGAATTTGCGTGCACCATAGTGTTCAGAATGTATACAGAGATCGTCCCTGGGCTCTTGACTCCCGACATTCAAGTGCGCTATCGTATCCACCCCTACTGTTTGCACCGCTTCACTATATTTCTTATAACCGAGTGTACACGCTACTCGTATCTCAAACAGAGAGGTAAGATAATACGGGGAGCAGAAACTCACGCGTCTTCAAGGCCAATACCTTTTTCCTCCATACTGACACGCGTTCTGGCACCTGTTGGCCAATCACTGCGTTCTGTATCGGACTGGCTCGAAAAATTGCTCGGTTATTAAATGTTAAAATTTGAGAAGGAATATCCTCGACATAGTTTCAAATTATAAGTTTAATGGAGTAATAAAAAATTCTCGAAGGCACCATAGACCACGATAAAACATTGAGATTGTCGTAACCGTTCTTTTGCCAGTAGAAGTATTTACAATAAAAATATTCATATATTTCACGTAGGTAATGAGTTTTAGGAATATCCTCGAACGAGGTCGAACAGTTATCGTGGACAGTACCGGTGTAAAGTTGAGGAGAAACGACGTTGAGCGGCCAATTGAGTTTGTTCTTACTATTCAGGGCCACTGAGGGGGTATCATCAGGGGGTACAAAGTTTCTATTGGGGTCCCCTTCCTTCATCGTTAGTAATTTTTGTTTTTCTTCGGTATCATGCCACGAAGTTGTAGCATAAAGTGTGAATGCTGGTCTTCACGCGATATATGCAAACATTTTCTAGGATCCCAGAAAATTTCCAGCTCGTTCCTTTGGCTCTAGGACCCCAAGCACGATGTATCCCCTGCGCCCCTTTTTAAGGGGTCCTCCTATTCAGGGTGTTTCAATTTTTTCCTCGTAAAACTTTGCTGATATCTTCTACGAGAAAGATCTTTTACCACTTCAAAAAAATTCAAAAAGACTTGACAAAAAATTATACTTGAATTGGTATTGGAAAAATTTTAATAGAAGATTCTGGTGACCAAAATAAAACGAAAATCAAGAATATCAATTTGCTGATCGAGGCTTCGTTAAAAAGTTATTAACGTTCAAAGTTCCACTATGGCGCGCAGCTGTTCGCATATTGCCGTTCTACAGGCGTAACTTTAAACGTTAATAAATTTTTAACGAAGCCTCGATCAATAAATTGGTATTCTTGATTTTCGTCTTATTTTGGCCTCTGGAATCGCCCATAAAATTTTTTCCCGATATTTATGATATCGTTCTCTTAATTTTGCTCGTTGAAATACATTTGGAAACTTTCGAGGGTAAAAACTGGGATACCCCGCGTAACACTTTCTTCCGCCGAGGATAACGCATTTTTTTTTTTCGCGCGTGCCTTACGAAAGCATTTTGTACGAAGTATCTTTGAGGTCGTTTCTTGCCGGAAACGTTGTAAAGATACCAAACGACGAATCGGTCTCGCTTTTCGGACGGAAAAGCGAAACTAACCCCGGAGGACAAAAGAGAAACCAGCATCCGGTTGCGCAGCAAGGGATTTAAATAGTTTCTATATTTTCTGTAATCACATTTTCGTGTGTATGTCTTGATCCGACGATTTGAGTGTCTTTTACGCGGCGAGAGAAGTAAATCGGTTGAATAATTCGCTAATTTAAGACGAACGTTAAACACATCGACAGTGAACCATATATATATTTAGAAATAATATATTTCGTAATGAAAGATAACGTTTTGTAAAATCTGCTTCGACCACTGGCGAAGTATTCGCGCGAAGGTGTTTGGAGAAGTACATTTTGTCCCGCTTGAAGTTTCCGAATGCCAACGAAATTTCGATGCGAAACGCGATTTCTAGGGAGAACATTTTAACGTCGTATTTCTTGTTTTCAGGATGTTTCTCGAATTGTGTGTGATTCCTTTGTATGAAACCTTTTGCCGCGGCAGAGTGAGCGAAGTTACAATTTAATACAGGATCATCGAATTTCACTGTCTAATAACATTTCTATTTATAGGGCGAGTGCGTAGACTTATGCGACTGATTGTATACACAAAACGATATCAAAATTATAACGTGTTTTTGCGAGAGATGGGCGAAATTTTATTCGAGTGGTCATCGTTTTTTTGCTGCGGAAAGGTTAATTTTACAACAATAACGCGAAATCAGGCTGCAGAAAAATCGAACGAACCGGTTGAAGATCGATGCACGTTCAAGCATAGTGTGTAATTTTTCTACGGCCATTCTTCGTTTATAGCGCGAAACGTTATTGCAAAATGAAGTATCCGCGACGTTGTAACGGTTCAAGAAGCTTCGAACGTTAACGCGTTGCGATTATAGCGTTAAACCGCAATATTATTTCGATCTTCGACTCGTAATTAGTGTAGGTACCTATAAGACTGAAAAAAACGAATACCGACGAAACAAATTTTCTTCTCGCGATTTGCTACTATGTGTTTTTCCGCCTACCCCCACCCCCCTTTTACTCTATTTTTTCTCTATTGTGTATGTCGAGCCCACACATGATCGTTAGGAGTATTTAAACGCCCAGCAATTTCGGGTTGACCGGCGTCGAGTATTTTTCTCTAGACCTGGTCGGGATCTCCAGCGTTTCTTGCCTCGTGCAGCGCGGGATAAAATGACGGCACATTTTTAAACAATTATTTATTTAAACTTTATCGATGGCACCGAGTTCACAGCCTGTCAATTTGTTTTTACGAGATAGAGAACGATGTAACCGCTGTTTTTTTTTTTTCTAGTAGAACGGTTTATTATATATGTTATACAAAATCGTACAGAGTTGGTTGGCCTAAATGATAGCACACTGTACAAATAATAACAATTCACATGTACAATAAAAAGAATTATTATATTAATGTTTAGTTAGATCTCCTTTTCATCGAGGGTCGTTAACGAAACGTTCGGATTAACGACTTACAGAATATTTTTACCTTCTTCGATACTGCTTTTTACAATATTAGTCTTAAAAGATCAATTAAAACGTTTTCAATTATACTTAATTCGGGGATGTTTAAAACTGACATTGAAATTTGTAATTGCTGCTTATAATACTTTCGTATTTATTCATTTGACGCATGAATAGTACTCCCTTTCAAGTTGTCGCCATTTTCACGTAGTCGTACCATCAAATTAATTGTTTACGATTGTTTAAAGTCATTAACGTTCGCATCTACGCTTCCTTTCAGATTTTGTTAATTAAAAATGTATTATTGTCGCACATACATGTATGATCGATAATGTAACGCGTGCAGAGCATGAACTATGCATTTCTTTCTGTCGATTGCATGGAGCATAAAGGAACATAAAGTGTGCTATTATTTTGTCGACCATTGTGAATATGCTTTCCAGTATTTGAAACTTAATTCATGATATTAGTTGATTGGACTTACTACTTATCGAAGCCATAATACCACCGCCTGATCATGATAATTTCGTCAGAAACCGTACATATCAACACTAGATGTACAAACATTGATTGCACCCATTTTTATCGAAGACATGTTGACGATTACATTACGATACATCATATCATGTCAATCATATAAATAGTGTACTTTAATAAATATAAACAACGTAATTGAATCTCGAATATATTAATAACGAATGCTGTTTATTAATGTTGCACGCTTAGTTTCTAGTTGAATGATCGACTGTATTTTCTATGACATTATTTCGAAGCAATTTGGAAGCATTTTTTTTATTTGCCAGGATCTCGTACATCATCGGTTACTTCCAAAAATTTGAAACTTGGACACATCGATCTAAAAAATTTCATTCCAATCATTTAACGACCCCACTGTTCGTGTAGTTTAGCGCACTGGAAACGTTCCAATTAATTTCCTTTTCACAGAAATGGCTTTTTCTTGCCAATTCGACCGTGAAGACCGGCTTTTATTAACAGCTTTTTTTTTTATTGTTGCAATACTGACTGGATGTTGGCGACTTTCATCGACGTGTGACCGAATTTGCAGTGCGGTCTATTGCGTTTATTAGTCGCTTTTGGTATACGCGACCTCTTTCAAAATAATGGAAAATATTCATTTTTCCAATAGTATTTAATAATATTATCCGCCCATCGTGGACGATCTCTTCCAACACTCGGATCAGTTTTTAAATCTGATACCACTTTTGGCGCAAGTTTTTCAGATTTATATTATCGTGGAAAGGAATTTCACTCAAAGAATTTTTAGGATAACGAATGAGATGGAAACCTGTCTGGAATCTTACATCTTGAATAGTAATTTACGCGTTTGATTGTGTATTTTATTAGACGACCAAATAAACGATTCTGTGTTGTAAGGAAGCTTCGAGATCCCGACCGAACTCACGTACGCGTGAGTTCGCGCATAAAACGTGTTCGCATAAGTTCCTTGAACACTACAGGGATATTCGTGGCAAAGATGATGGGAAATCAGCATTCTATAATCTCTCCAGCGAACGGTACGTAGCCCATTGAAACTATGGAAAAATGAAATCGTCGCTCTGCGTGTAAAATTGTTGTTTTTATCGAAGTACTGGAAATCGTAGGTCTTTTATTAAGAAAGAATAAATAGGAAAAAGGATAATGTAGAATGCCAAAGCGTTAGAATGCCACGCACTACGATTCATAATGGCAAATATGTTTTAATATAATTCAGCGTATTTATTTGTCTTTTTCTTTGTGTTTATCCATTTTACGTGTAGGGTGAATTTTTTCTATCTATTTGAGAGTTTTAATTTGCTTCTGTTCGGGGCACGTTGCTCTACGATGGTTAGGAAGAGTTTGATAAAACACTCATCCTATACAGGGTGTTCAGCCATCTCGGGGAAAAATTTTAATGGGAGATTTTAGAAGCCAAAATTTTTCGTCAAAATTGAAAAGTTTCAAACCATTCTAAAAAAATTATTTTCGGTTGCGAAGGTCAGTTACAATCATTTTTGGTGAATAGACATACCCCTGAAATCCTACTCAGTTTCGAGAAAAAAATTCGAGTAGGTAGACAAATTTTTCGACAAAATTCAAAAATTTCAAATCGTTCTGGAAAAATTATTTTTGATTGCAGGGGTCGATTACTATCATTTTTGGTGAATAGACATACCCCCGAAATCCTACGCACTTTTGAGAAAAAGATTCGAGTAGGTAGACAAATTTTTCGACAAAATTAACAAATTTCAAATCGCTCTGGAAAAATTATTTTCAGTTGCAGAGGTCAATTACTATCATTTTTGGTGAATACACATACCCCTGAAATCCTACTCAGTTTCGAGAAAAAAATTCCTTAGTGAAAATATACCGTGTGGGCAGAAATGTTTCCCCGAAATTTCATGCGTAGGTTTGAAAAATCGTAACTTCTAGACGGATCGAAGGATTTTAATGTTTCAAAATTCAAACAATGCGTATTAATGGGTCAAAAAAATACATTGGATGTAAGTTCTACTCGTATACCTCGACTGTGGTTCTCACTCAGAAAATTGTAAGGCTATCGATACGTCACAAAGTAGAGTTTCTAATGCTGAATGAGAAACCACTATCGCGTGTACGTAGCTATTCGTAGATCGCCGTTCTACAGGCGGAACCTTAAACGTTTATAACTTTTTAACGAAGCTCCAATCAACAAATTGGTATTCTTGATTTTCGTCTAATTTGGGCTCTAGAATCTCCCACTAAAATTTTTTTCCCAGAGGTGGTTGAACACTCTGTATAGGTACGATGTGTTAAGGTGCGTTTTTTTCGCGAAGCGAGTGATCCGTGGCCCGAAAACGACTAACGGTGCGAAAACTTGCATTATTACATCGATCGCTTGCAATAAGAGTGATACAACGAAAATGTATCAAGTTTCTATGCTCGAGACGGAATCAATTGGCCTGTCGGCTACCGAGGCGTTATCCCCGCCATTTTGTGGATTGACTAAGTACCGGCGCCGTGCTATCTCTTGTTGTGTCTCGTCCCTCAACCGTTCGCTATACCCTACCTTTGTGTAGCTTACATCAAAGTCACCAACAATGTTTTCATCGACACTATTTCACCCACGTCGACTTTGACCGACGTTCTGCATTCATCGATCGCACATTTATTGACTAGCATGCAGCGATAATGTATCAAACTGAGTCTCAAATTTCCCGGCAAAGGCCAAACATGCTTCATGCTCGATATCACGCGAAATCAACGCCCGTCGAGTCGTATGTCTGTAAAAAAAAAAAAAAGATGAGGAAAAGAGCAATGGTTACGAACATTCACGGTGAAGCACGGTTAATTTTCCACGATTCCTCCCCATTTTTCCTCCCACCATTCAGTTTCTTGACTTCAAGAAAAGAGACACACAATTTTTTAAAGCCAATTTATTCTGCCTCGACAATAGCGATAGAATAATAACGCTTTTGGTAGCCTTTAAATATGCAATGTATACCCGCAGAGTTCCAAGAGTAGGATACTCCTTTGTGGTGGTATATATTTTTCATAGACTTCGAGTGTAGCGTATTTTTATCGTAACAACACATTTGTAACTTCAGCGTTTTTATTATTGTTACGCGCGCGTTATTTACATCGTAGTAAACGGGGACAAAAATATGTGTAAATACGTCGATGAAGAATTGTATATTTTCTGAATTGTATTACTCTTATCGCAGATGTGCGACACGCGCACTTGTTACATAAACATTTATTTGTTAGTAAAATCAATGAAAAGAAAAAAAAGGCGAGGGTTCTATTTAAAAATGAAACGATATTGTTCAAACTTTCCTGGCTGAGGATTTTCGTTTCTGAAATATTTCAAATCTTACGAAACATCCTGTACATACTATATACATAATATACCTAATACGCTTAACGTGTCGTTCGCTCCTTCTCTCCCTCCCTTTCCATATAGCGATGGATCTAGAAGAGTCTTTTCAATAAATCGTATAAAGCTTCGTTCTTAAATAATCTGAAATACTTCGTGTAAACTAATTTTCACATCGATTTATTAACGTTTCTTTCAAATTATCGACGCGTGCCCATTTTCCACATTTGGAACATAGTTTTCTGGTACCACCGTTTCGAACTCTTCCGCATACGCTGTCCTCGTGACCCTGTTTTAAATAGTTCTAAGGGGTGTATAGGTTCTTCAACGGCAAAGACAGTTGTTATCCAGAGAAACTTTTACGTAAATGCCAGAAACCTAAACACATTTACTTACAGAGAATGGTGCAAACCGTTTTCTACACTGTTGGGAACGTGCTAAAGGCGACGCGTTGCTAACCCAGGTCACTTTAGAACTATAAAAAGAACTATAGCGGTAGTTCATACATGTTATGAAACGATTTATTATTTTTTTTAAATTGTACACGAATTCATCCACCTAAGATGTTTTCTTAATTTGCAAGCGAACGTACACGAATGACAAGTTCGACCAATTATAACTTTAATAAAATTCAATGGAAAGATCTGTATTCGAATTGCTAAGTTGTCTCTTACGTTGACAAGATAGGAGATTCGAGTAGCACTTACCAATTCTCGTTTATCCTGAAAAAATTGCTCCTCGAATATTGTAAATAATAAATGGGCAGTGAAGTACTTTTGTTTGTCGTAGTAATGCACAGGATATCGTAACGTACACATTGTCGCTTTTAATGGAATTATTTATTTTCAGAAATAATATACACTTCGTTTATCGTAGTGATCGCAATTTAAAATTATGCGAAGGGATAATTGGTATTATCGAATATTCTTTTCTATTCACTTAACAATTGTTATCACGTAATAAGTGGTTTATAAGCACCTGTTGCCCGTTTGGAACTTCGTGTATTAATAGCGAACAATTTATAGTTAATCAAAATAAAACTTTCTAAAAATAAATTTATATGAGGAGCATGTTTTGCTATACCCATTGATTATTTAACGCTTGAGTAATAATAATACGTTCTCGTTGCACCAAAATTGCCTTTGGTACGAATTGACAGATTAAATAAAATATGATGTGTGCATGTAGCGGTAAATATACGGTTGCGGCACAAAGTTAGGGTACAGATATATGCTGTTATTAACTTAACCTAGTACAATCAAAAGTTTCGCCGTGTTATACAGCGTGTATTGCAACTCGAGATCAACTTTTAATACAAATAAAGAATCGGTGCAACGATTAGTTCTGTTAATTTTTTACAGTAAATATTATTTTAATAATTTAGAATTTTTGAAATATTTAGTACATATACAATGAGCAGAAAACTACTATATTCTTTAGCAGTTTAAGATTCAAATCAAAACTAAGCATCTGTTTATTAAACTCTGAACCACAAGTGTATGCGTATGGACACCAGATGTTGTATTAGCTGTGTACCGGGTGCTCTAAACACATCTTACATCGTCTAAGATCCGTATTTAATTCTCAATGAAAATATTCTGATAATAAACCATTTTTTATAATAAACTATAAATACATGAGTAATATAAAACCAATTAGCAGTACAAAAGTAGCTTCGTGTCCAAGCTCTCCACGTGTGTTCTCTCTCGTTACTATTATGGTAATAATCTACAGGTGTTTCTACATTACCCACAGATTTTGTTCTCGATTATCGATAGATACGTTTGTGCCCTTTCTACACTTTTAGCGCCGTTTGTGTATTTCAATTGGCAACACTCTATCGGGCCGGAACGATGCGACGTAGAAACGGGAACGTACGATCGAAACGATCGGTTCGTCCTGTGACGCTAGATCCATGGTATCTTGACGACGTTTTCCGTTGATTTTCCGCATCTGCGTTGTTCTTCTCATTCTCATCGTGTCAAGTGCTTTGCGTGCGCAGTGCGCTCACCGGTTGTAAGGGTTGGGAGGTGCAGTTGGATGCTGGTCGTCCGCGCGCTCGTGTCTCCTCGGCTCCGCTCGGCAATCTCCGTGGATCTCTGCGGGGGCAGAGGCCTCCTTCCCTTCCGAGCAATTCCACAGTGTTCACACTCCCGCGTAGGTGTGCGGCGGTACGTGCGAGTTTTATTTCTTCGTCCCGCGATTCAGTGACGAGTACGTGTTCGTAACAGTCTCCTTTAGATTACAAGTGATACGTGAATCGCACGCTGCCTCTCGACGGATAATAACAAGTGGCAAGCGCGGAAAACTGGCGGACAGTCGTTGGAAAATCGACATCGGTGAAATACCAGCGAGGAGTAGGACTCCGAGCGTGCATGGAAACCGGCGAAGAAGAGGGATGATCGTTGACACTCTCCGTGTCCACGAACGGACGACGTCGAACGTGAAATAAAAATTGATCTGTCTTGGATATCGAGCGGCGATCGTCGACCCGTAGATAGCGAATGAGTTTCGAAGCAGTGTTACCGCGTTCTTTGACAGTTCACCTGTTACAAACGGAGTCGCGGTTCAGTGTCAATCCTCCACACGTTGAATCGATCGATCTCTCGAACGTGTTGATCGTGAACCTGTGCCGTTCCTGTGACATCCCGCTATTGGATACGAGTACGTGGTGCGTGTTACAAGCAGAAAGTGTGCCGGAAAAACGCGGGTACACCGGGAATCCCGAGGATCCGTCGAAGTGCGCGAAACGGGGCAACGGTTACGGAAAGATCGTTTCGTGACATTCGAGATACACGGCTGGCACGAACCGCGTGCGTGCAATCGCGTTCGTTTCGATCCCTCGTTTCGATTTATCTGTCCGAGCCAATGGGACCGGTCCATCGAGAGTGACGAACGAAGATTCGCGATTATTCGTTACGTTTCGACGGAAGTGGGATATACGTGAGAATCGTTTGGCACGGTGTCGCGTGTAAAAAGACCGGCGACCGAGCCTGACGAAAGATACTTGCGGACGACGATCCCTCGCGGCGAAGCTTGTTACACTTTTGTGATGAATACTCGAGTTCGGAGTGGTTAAGAGCTTTTCGAGTGAAATCACTGGTGAAACGTTCGAAGTGGCGTGTACTTTGTGAAAAGTACTTCATGAATGCGACGGAAAGGTTAACCGTTAAACGTGAAATCGATTTCCGTTGAAATCTGCCTCGCCGCGGACACTTTTTAATGCCGATCCCAGCGCGATAAGCGACAGTAATATTGTGAAGCGTGGACCGTGAAACGACCTTTTCTCCTCTCGCGAACGAAAATACGTTCGATTGTATGAAAGTGACCCCCAGTGCTTACATACGTTCTATCGTGTTCGGTGTGTTCATCTATGTTCCTGTAGCGGACTATCGAGCTGACCATGAAGGACTACGGAACGAAACCATCGACGATGAGGCTGATCCTGTTTTTCGCCGTTTTTTCTGCGACGACTCTCGTAAAAGGTAAGTGGCCGATCGTAACGACGATTTTGATTTTTCGAACGCATTGTGTCGAGGGATTTGCGTAACGCGAAACGTTAAACGTTGAAAATCGGCTCACAGCGGCGGTCAAAGGAAGCTTAACATTTTAAATCAGTTTTGATGCAACGGTAATTTTTTTAAATAATCATGAAACGAGGTATATTCGTTGAAACATTTGTTCCATTGATTTTTACATAAACGGAGGACTTTTATTTTTTTAAGGTTACGTACTTTTACAGTAGTAGTATTCCAGCTTCGATTTCAGTGAATACCGAGATGAAAGGTTTCTAGTAATCCGTCTGATAAAGCAAAAAAGGATAATTTCGAATTTACGAAACAGCTTTGCCTGAAATTGAAACGTACGAGCCAAGAAGAGTCGACTTAAATATAAATATTATATTGGATTCGCGGGAGATAGAAAAGAATGATGATTGAAATTTATTTTCAACGACTTTTAGACAAGTATTAATGAAAGTGATTTGGAAAATGTATTACTTTGAAAATTAAACTCCGAACGTAGATGAGGCGCGGCATATTTGAAATACTGTTGGCAATTTGGTACACCGAACTATTTAAAAAATTACTAATGTTATCTAATTTGTAACATCCGACTCGATCCTCGAAGCAAAAAGAAATGTCGATTTGTAAAAGTTTCAAATCGTAGCAGTTCCGGTTGATATGTGTTAAAACTTTGGAGCGAATCGTTTAAATTATATTCGTTCGCATATTAATGCTATAATCTCGTTTCGTGTGCAGTATTTTGGTAATATTTTTATTTACGCGCACACTGCCGATACAAGTGTTAAAAGAATGTTAATTCCGAGCGTCGGATGCATCCTCCATAGTGATTTCACGCGAACGATACTGTGACGTTATCTGTACTAATAAATCTGGTTCGATCAGAAAATGTTTCAACGTATATACGTAATACTTATCTCGTACTTGGGCGACATTCGCCATAAGTGGAAACGGTACCGACTTTCTACGCTTACGTATAACGTGTTATGAAAGTTTCAATAAATTTATGAACTTTGGCGTGCCGCAGACTAATAGCATTTACGAATATAGGAAAATATAATGTGTGTACAACGCGATGGAATATTTTGTTTACATTGTAAGAACGCGCGTTTTAAAATGCTCTATTAAAAATTTACACTTTTATTTAAAAAAAAAAATTAGTGAAATTTTCCAGGCGATTTGTTTTAAATATTATATAAATTACGTGGACAAATCTAGATATTATTGATATTATTGATATTGGTTGCAAGGATTAATCGTAAGATTTGCGTCGATCAAACATTTTTTATTCCTCTCGGTGAGTGGTATAAGCTCTCGAAGTCTTAGACCCTTCCGGTTTAATACTCTCGATATTCTTAGCGACGATAGGATAGTATGTACTGTGTCAACAAAGGCTTTAGTACTTCAGCACACCGAAAAAAAAAAAATTGAAAAACAATTTCGAATCCACTTTGACCGCTGCTTGTTAGCCGAAGGTTCAACCAACAATTTCTTGCCACTCTTTTAGATTTAATGCGTCGTAGAGAAAGTACGTGTACACGGATTTTGTCGTGACTTAAACGAAACGCGCGTATATGTGCACACGGATTTTCCCCGCGAGTTAGACGAAATGCACAAATACGGATTCTGATGCCTTAAAAAGTGGCTCGCGTAAATTATAAAGTTTACGTTTCGAATAAATGCGGAAATACAGCGAAAGCGTTGAAATTTTTTAATTTTTTAAAATTCTATTAAAATTAAATCACGTAGATTCGACTCGATTTTCTTCTCGCGACCGGTTTATTAGGAATTGTTTTTGTGAAATGTGCAACTACAATTTGGTAACGTCTCTGAATAATATACATTATATAATTACGTGACTGTAACCCTGCGTGTTCTACGAAATTAATGCGCCTCGAGTTGGTTCTGCTTTTGGGATCCGTCAATAAAGCTCGTCTGGAGGATCGTGTCTTAGACACGTTTCAAAATTGAATGGATTTCCTTCAAATGAGTCCCTCGCGTTTACCTTGAACCGCGAAGACTAGTATTAATTTGTCGCGGTAGAATCGCCATAATGGAATAATTTAGACTTTGCGCTCCAACGACGTTCAGATATATTTAAATATGTACAGGAACATATGTATCATGTACATGGTCCAATTCGAAATTATCCACGATATTAAAAAATTCTTAAACGATAAGCAAGAATTGTGAATTTCATTGAGAATAGAACTTTATGAAAATATTAATTTATTTCCAGGAATGTATTATTTATTTTTGATAATTGCAACATTGGGCTCGATTGCAATGTCCAAATTATCTGTACTTTCTTTTAACGTTTAAATATTTAGTTAATGTTTAAATTTTAGTTAGTACATGGTCCAATTCGAAATTATCCACGATATTAAAAAATTCTTAAACGATAAGCAAGAATAATGAATTTCATTGAGAATAGAACTTCTGAAAATGTTGATTTATTTCTAGGATTGTATTTATTTTATAATTGCAATTTTTGGGCTCGATCGCAATGTCCAAATTATCTGTACTTTCTTTTAACGTTTAAATATTTAGTTTATTAACGGTAATAATGTAAGAAAAAACGATTATTCGCCTATTTATGGACCGAAGCGAGATATCTGCATCGAACAGCAGTATTCGAATAGAGATCACGACTTACACGGTTAATTCGTTCCAAAACTTTTCGCGTAAGTTGAATTGTATTAGGTTGTCCAGAAAGTTCGTGCCGTTTCGGTCATGGTGTCTTTATTACCTTTTTACTCGAGCAATAAAACATCGTTTAACCCGGTGACCGTTTTCTATGCTCAAGGCGTGTTACAAGCGTAGCTTTTGCGCGAGTTTGGTCGTGAATTTTTTTACTTTCGTATCAGATACGAGTGAAAAGCTACGAGCGAAAACAGCGTCGAGTCTCTTCCATCGCGTTATAGAAATTTAACATAGAAACGAATAATATTTGCAGCGTACAGGGGAAGCTACAATACGTAATTTAGAAATCATTTTTACACGATATTTAAAATAACGTAAAGAATAATTTCTATTCCTTTTTAGGGTTCCAGTACAATTGATTACACGTTGAAATATAAATTACTTTCGATCGTTCGTTTGACAATAATTTATTTCCTAAATTATAAAACTTTTCGACGCGTCTAATATTTTCGTGGGAAAATATGGACCAATTAGACGATTCTCGGGCGAAAGAATCGCAAACGCGGACTAAACGATCGAACTTCCGAACGTAATAAAGAAAATACACGTTGGGAATCGAACCTTGCAAAATTGCGTGAAAAGGCGGTCATCCAATCATTCAGCCGACCAATCACTCGGTAAATGGAACCGCGATCTATCTGGAGCAAACGTAGCGGAGCTACGCAGATTTTTTTTTTTTTTTTCTATTATTTTTTCCCCCTGTTTTTCGCTGTTTGCATATATTATACGCCGACATATTTCGTTGTTTATTGTACGTCGCGTGTCATCGATTCCTGGAGAATTCAGTCGCTCGAAAACAAATAACACGTCGACAGGAATTTATCGTATTTTATTGGTAATTTCCTGGTCGGGGTCTGATCATTGTTTTCGGTGTCCGTTTACGTTCTTCTTTGTAAACATCGAACGTGCCTGCGTTTTCGCTTTAATGCGACAAAGGCGCGGAACAAACGGAAAAATAGTTTAATAAATTCGCGCGCCCGTGAAATTTAATTGCGCGAACGAATTGTTCACGTTCGAGCGTGCACGAAACGCTTCGAAATAGTCGAATGAGAAGAAAAATTTAAACGGACACGTTTGGGAATTTTTCACGCTGCGATCCTATTAAAACGTCGGTGTTCTGGTATTTTTGGTTCGCGAAAAAAAATATGCTTTTTATTAGGTGGTCCGTGGACGTTTTTATTTTTACGTTCGTTTATTCGTTTACGATAGAAATTTTTAATACGTACGTGCGTAAGCAGCATTTAGATTTAATTTTTTACTCCGTCTCTTCTGTAATATTTGTATTATTCTTTATATTTCAGAGGATAAAAATGGTAGCACTTGTTAACATTCATTTAAGGCTAAAATCACAATTTACAAAAATACTAAGTCTACCTGGCTACCTTATACTTCTTTTACAAATTATTATTATAACTTTCCGGGAATGGAACGAGCACGCATACCCGATGTTACATTCATAATTAAAAACTATTCGTCGTAATTTTGGGGCATGCGTGTTCACAGCCACAACGCGTAGGCACGTTTCACCCCAGGTCAGCAATTCTCGAAAGGTAAAAATAACATTTTGTCAAATTTTTTAACATCGTGAAATAAAAATGATGTTTGTTTTTCTTTTTCAACACATACACCCAAGACTCTGCCAAGTGTTCGTTTATTGGGTTCGACGCCTATATTAAAATATACGACGTCGAGTCACTCTGATGTTTTTTTTTTTTTTTCCCCCAACAGCCTATATAAATTTGATTTTTGCGGCCGCTGTTGTTCTCAGCGTCGAAAAATGATCGATTCGCGTTTGTCACGCGCCGCGTTACCTGGTGTCCGGCGAAAAAAAAAAAAAAAAAAGGTTTCCTTTGTAACGGGAACGCTGAACACGGTGGTTTTAATCGAGTTTCGGGACGGTAATATGCTTAACGAATTCCACCATTTTTCCCCTCGAACTCTCGCGAGGTTGACCCGGGGTCGTGCGTCTTCGCTCAGGGGGAAGAACGAATCACAATCCTCGGATGTTCCCTGGCCGCGCGGAGACGATGTAATTCAGAAATGAGATTTTGACTTTGTCTTCCCTTTTTTCGACGGCTCTGTTCGACGATTCTTGCAATTCCCCCGATTCCTCGGGACGACGAGCTTAACGGTGACGGTATTCCGATTCATATCGGGCAAAGGCACGCGTTAATCACAGTTATCGACGAAGCGCAAAAATCGAGGGTCCGTGCTGCACCGTGAAACATTTTCCAGACGTCGGGATTGGAGAACTTCACAAA